GGAACTCCCTCTGTAGACCAGGCTAGCCTCAAACTCAGAGATCTGCCTGCCTCTGCCTCCCAATTGCTGGGATTAAAGGTGTGGGCCACCACCGTCCAGCTCTGACAGATTTTTAAAATGATTAGAAAATAGGTCATGTTGGGCAGTAGTGACATACTCCTTTAATCCCAGCACTCAGGAGAGAGAGGCAGGGAGATCTCTATGAGTTCCACACTAGCTTCATCTACAGAGTGAGTTCGAGGACAGCCAGGGCTAAACAGCAAAACCCTGTCTCAAATAGACAGACAGACAGACAGATAATAAAAGGAAATAGCCAAACAAACACCCACAGACAAAAGACATAAAGACCAATTATAGTCAACTGTCAGCAACACCAAGTTATCCACTGTAGTGGTTTGAAAGAAAATGGCACCCGGAGGAAGTGGCGCTATTAAGTGACCTTGTTGGAAGAAGTGTGTCACTGTGCGAGTGAGCTTTGAGGTCTCCTTTGTTCAAGCTACACTTAGTGTGACACACGGTTGCTTCTGCTGCCTGCAGATCAAGATGTAGAACTCTCAGCTCCTTCTCCAGCACCATGTCTGTCTGCAGGCCACTATCCCACCGTGATGAGAATGGACTGAACCTCTGCAATTGTAAGCCGGCCCAATGAGATGTTTTCCTTCACAAGAGCTGCTGTGGTCCTGGGGTCTCGTCACAGCAATGAAACCCTGAGACATCAGTCAACTAAAGAGTCCATCCAAATACTCAGTCGGGATTCATGAACAGACTTTTAAAATTCATTCCTCAAGTCAGGTATGGCAGCCCACATCTAGGAGTTCAGCACTCAAGAAGCTGAGGCTGGAGGACTGCTCTAAGTTCAACACCAACTTGGGCTATGTAGTAAGTTCCAGGCCAACCTGATGAACGGAGTCATAAAAGGAGACATTGTTAGAGAGAAACAGAGAGGGAGGAGAGAGAGAAGGAGGCAAAGGAAGGAGGGACAGACCGGGAGGGAAGGAGGGACGGAGAGGGAAAGAAGGGCAGGAAAGGAAGAAGGTCCTCGGATGGGTGACCCCGGGAAATGTGCTGGCTTTCCCCAGGCGCCCTGCAAGTGCAGTACTAAAGCAGCAGCAAGTCCAGGAGTCTGCTCTTGTGTGACACTTGATCTCATTCTGACAACAAAGCTTGCTTGGAGAGGGCAGAGCTAGCAACTAGCTGACCAAAATTAACCATAGAGGTTTTGGAGGACTGAGGACAGATAGGAGACAGGAAGTAGTAAGACAGGGATGAGAGAGGATCTCAACCCTTTGGATGGAGGAATAGAGAGACAGGAGGTCACTTTTCTGATCACTCAGGCGCTTACCCTGATATCTGACTCCTGACTTCTTATTGATAAAGAATAATTAGATAAACACATCAGTCACTTATCTTCCTGGCAGCTTCTTCACTACTTTAGAGGACAGCAGTGAACCGAATGAACAATACCAATGAACGGATTCATGTGATGTGAGGAGCAAACTGAGGACCTCCTGTGCAGCCCATCCCAAGATGCACAATGGTGACGCCTCCCAAGGGATGAGTGCCAGCAAGCTGCTCCAACTATGTTTATCTACCTGTTCTACCCAATCCAGCAAGCGGACATGAGAAACACCAGCTGATAAAGTGACCTGAGTAAGATTAATTCGTCAAGTAGTCAAAAACTGACCTCGCATAATCCATGTTGCCAGTTAGCAAGCAACACAAAGATGCAGGACAATCCAAATTACTTTAAAAAAAAAAAAAAATAGAGGCTGGAGAGATGGCTCAACAGTTACACGCACTGGCTGCTCCAGGGCCAGATTCAATTCCCACCACCTACATGGCAGCCAATACCCACCTGCAGCTCCAGTCCAGGGGATCCTATGCCCTCTTCTGAGCTCCTCGGGCAGTGCACACACATGCTGCACGGACATACATACAGGAAAACATCCACACACATAAAAGTGACAGATCAAGTGTTTATGTGTAGAAAGGGACTACTTGGAAAGAGGAGGGGACCAGGAGGAGAGGAGACAGGAGAAGGTAATGGGGCAGAACATGAGCATGGAACATAATACACAGGTATGAAAATGTCACGATAAAACTCAGCATTTTATGTCACGAATACAGATGGTAAGTTCATTCATCCACTCCTCTGCCTTTCTCATCTGCAAACGGTCTCCCCAGCCCCATATCACTGGATCCCTCAGGGTGAGGAAACCACCTGTCTCTTTCGAGCGCGCGTCTAATGTTCTGGCGCTGCTTTCAGCTGCCTTACCACTGTCTTGGAGGTCCTCTGCACAGCCAGTATCTTATTTTCCAGAGAAAACTTAATGCACTTCACTTCGCCTCTGTCGTCCATTCTGAAACAAGAAAGAACAGGTTCAGAGAGAAACTGCCCTGAATTCTAGCTCTTGTTGCTATTGACAAAAAGCCACGTTACTCTTTGGGAAGAAGCAAGCTGTAGTCTAATGTTAGAATTGCATTTCTGAAGCTGGAACAGAATCTACTGGCAACAACCGGCTGGTGAAGTGAACAGAGGACATAGTCAAGTGGCTGGAGAGTCAGGGTCACACACACGTCACCTGAGAACTGCTGGATATCCTAGGGGACAGAGATGCACTCATTGTCATGATTATAGTGATGGTTTCCTGGGTGTATAAATAGCTCACTATATAGTAAGTGTGCAACATACTGTGAGCCTATTATAACTCAATAGAGCCATTAAAAAAACAAACAAACAAAAAACCCCCACAATGTTTGGGTTCAGTTGGCTCACAGAGACCTGAGTGTGAGCTCCAGAGTGTGAACCCGTGTAAAAAAGTCTAGACACTAATGGCATTGCAAGTCCAGTTCCAGGGAGACAAAGAGAAGCAGCCCCTACGGTCACTTACCATGCTAACATGCCAACGAGACTGCGTCTCAAGACACGAGAAAAAAGTGCATGCCCGCACATACAGGTTAAAGGCTGCATCCTACCCACCCGTCAAGCTCCTCAGAATACTGAAGTGCAGCCTGACAGGCAGATCCCTCTCAGCGTTCCATGTCTCACTGGTGCATCTCACCCACTAACTTCCCAGGCTGCTATCAGTCTGTACCTCAGAGCCCCTTGGCTTTTTGGCAACACATAGCTGAACCAACACTGTCTCTCAGAGTTACTGCTGTCTCTGCTCCCAACAGCAGCAGGAGCACAGACATAGGCCAAATGCCGAGGTGACCTCACCACACCCGACCTGACAGATTTTCACCATCAAGGTGAAAGGAAAAGCCCTAATCCCATGGGGAATGCCCACCTTCTCCATGCCTCCTTCCCTGCAGATACCCTGACCTAGAGTCCCCCAAGGACCACGCCTCTGCTCATGGTCTGGTCTCCAACCTGAAATGACTCCCTTCCTACCTGAAAGCCTTGCTCAACCCCATCTCAAGGTCAAAGCTGCATCCTTTAAGTGTTCCCATGTTCTCAACAGAGTTCCAGCACAGAGTTTATCGTGGCAAACAGTATTTGCTGAACCTCTTCCTGCCTACATTAAGTCCGAGTTCTGGAAAGGGGCTGATTTAAAGTCTTCACTTGTTTGCCACTGACGGTGTGTCGAACAAGGACCAAAAAAACAAAATGACGTCAGCTGTTTTCTATTTCAAAAAGTTGACACATGTTAAAAGTGATCTTTTTTTAAAAAAAATAAACAGGGTCTTGCCATGCCGTGCAGACTGGATGGTAACCTGCAAACTACCTCTCTTAGCTTCCCAGAGGGCTGGGGTTAGAGGCCTGGGCCACCACTGAACTGAGGCCCTACAAAATACTTTCTCTTTGCTACTGTAACCAAACAAAGAACTGATGTGACTGTGTATCCCAAACTGAGGCACTTGTGAAAGTGAAAGGGGCCGCTACAGTCAATCACACTCAGCGCATGTCAAGTGAGACAGCCCGTCTGTCACTTTAACCTCGGTGAGAACCCTGGTTTTCCCCCATTACATGAGGAAGACTGGATTTTCCTCCACCCAGCAAACACTCTAGGAAGACCTGGGATAAATGAGGAACTGAGGCCCCGGGCCCAGCACAGCAGAAATGAGTGCATGTCGGTAACTTCAAGTACCAGGAAGTAGGTGCCCTGGGAAATCTTGATTCCCACATTTCACTCTGACAGTTGTTCTGTTGTTCCCAAACTGCACCCGCAGGTGCCCACTGCTTTTTCCTACACAGGATTCCATCCCAGGCTGCTTAGATGAGGGCAAAACAAAGTGATTCAACTTTCTGAATCAGAAAATCCCCAGTGTTTACATGTGGATATTATTCTGAAAAGGGCAAATTACCTAAAAGAGATGGGATTCCTATCATCGGGGCCTTTAACGACCACGCCAGTAGCTCCACCCGATCGAACAGCAAAAACCTGAGGAAGAAGAGGCAACGTTAATGGTCAGAGCTTTGTAAAGATCTAGACTCAACCTTTCAAGGATCGTGTCTACCGCACCACCCCTTGATTCATCTGAACAAACTAACAGGGAATATTCCTAGGTAGGTGCTTAGACGAATTTAAGGAGAAAGAAGTGAGCAAAACAGGGCACCGTGCAAGAGCAGGCTAGACCCTGAGACTGACCATCTGAAAGCCAGCTCGCACTCTGGCACCACCCATGCACCCGCACACCCGTCTTTGCTCCCGTACAAAACACCGGGCACTCGGCGTTAAATCCTTGCGCGCACCGCGGGTAGGGCGATGGTGAGCGTCCGGGCGCGGGGCCTCGCTGCGGGCACCGCTCGCTCACCTGCTTGTTGGCCTCGTCAAAGAACACGCAGTTGACCGGGTTCGCCTTCTCGAACTGCACCGGCCGCTCGCACAGCTCCAGGTAGTAGTCCTCGCCGCCCATGGCTGGGACCCGCGGGAGCCGGCTGCCTCGGTGCGCTCCACGGCTCAGGCCGCTGCCCTAGGCCCCGCCCCGCGCCCCACGTGACTCGCGGCCGTCGGCGCGTCAGTGGCCCGGGCTGGAGCCCACCACCGCAGCCACGCCCCCTCCGGAGGCGGGGCGCGGGCCACGTGACCCGGAAAAGCCGCCCGCTTAAAGTGGTGCCGTGTCCCCCGTCGCCGAGAGACGAGGCAGGAGGCTGGCTGTGATCACGCAGCCAAGACTGACTTCTGTACTCACCTCGGGACCCCACTCGCACCGGGCAAACACTACTCCCGGAGATCTGCCCGGCCCCGGGGGCTGATTTTATAAACAATCTGTCAGCCATACAGGCAGGGCTGGCATCTGCTGGGATGTTGAATTCTGCCTCTCCCCACAAGTTTACGTGTTGGACTTTTAATCCCCGATATCTCAGAATGTGCCTGCACTTGGAGCTTCAAAGATGTAATTAAGGCAAAATGAAGTCGTCAGATGGGTCCCTAAACCAATATGACTTTTATTTAAAGAAGGAAAAAAGAGATGAGGAGGTCTTAAATGCCCAGCCTGCCGAGTGGCCATCAACGAGTCAGGGAGGCCTCGAAGAAACAGTCCTGGTCCAGCGAGATGGCTCTGTGAGTACAGGCGTTTACCACCGAGTATGATGGTGAGTTTGACCCCTGAGACCTACATGCATGCAAGAATAGAAGGACCCCAGCAAGCTGCCTTCTGACCTCCACACATGCACTGTAGCAAGTGAGCACCCCATACACAAACGAACATAAGCAAATGTAATAAAAAATTGTTTTGAGACAGAATCTCTCTGTGTAGTCTTGGTTTGCCTAGAACTCACCATGTAGACCAGGATGGCCTCGAACTCACCAAGATCCACCTGCTTCTGCCTCCCAAGTGCTAGGATTAAAGGTGTGCGCCACCACACCTGGTAAAATGTAATAAAATTTTTAAAAAGAAATGAAACAGCCCTGCTGACTTTAGGCTCTCTGCCTCAAAAACTGTAAACTAAATGTGTAAGCCCCCAGCCTGCAGCACTTTGTTACGGCGGCGGCGGTGGCGGCGGCAGGAAGAACTGCCTCGGGAAGAATCTGGTCATGGGAAGAACCTGGTCACAGTGATCTTGACAATGCTGTGGACTCAGGAGATGCTCCAACCACCACAGGCTGCAGGAATCCTGAAGATCCAGAATCACATCTTTTGCCCCTCCAGGAATGGTCTCTATTTATTTTTAAATATGTGTGTGTGTGGTGCATTGAATATGAATAGATGGATATCCATATGAAGGTTGGGGGTCAGCGCATTGGGTTTTTGAGGCAGGATCACTTGGGAACGTATTGGCTAGAGTGACTGACCAGTGAGCCCCAGGGGTCTGCTCAGCCCAGCAGGGTTACTCAGCCTTACATGGGGGCTGGGGATCTGAACCCTGGTCCTCATACTTGCTTTACAGGCACTCTACCAACTAAGCTGTCTCCCCAGCCCCACTGCAAACATTTCCTTCTGCAGTAAAGACCACTTGATTGTTCCCTGTGATCAAATAGGAGCACTTATTCTTCCTAGATTAAAAAAAAAATTAAAAATTGTTAAGAAAAATGAACCTGGCTGGGCGGTGGTGGCGCATGCCTTTAATCCCAGCACTCGGGAGGCAGAGCCAGGCGGATCTCTGTGAGTTCGAGGCCAGCCTGGTCTACAGAGTGAGTTTCAGGCCAGCCA